GGTTTTATAAATTCTAAACCCTACTCGTACTCGACTCCTTAAACCTCCAACCCGTACCTCCCCAAAATCCGTAGTGAGTTTGACTTTGAGAATCTAAACCCTCCCCGCACATGAAAATGCAAAATTCTCCCTGACCCTACCCTCCCTACATTCAAGGATAGGGGTTAGGGGTGATCATTTGGTCGATTTGGTTCACAAATAGAACCTAGCCGATATTTTGGTTAGGTCATTTTCATGAACAAAACTGAACTAAATTAGATATGAAACTGAACCAAACCGAACTGAATTTAAATCAGATCGATTTGGTTTTAATTTGGTTAATTTATTTAGTTAAAATATAGATCTAGTTTATATTTATATTAATGATTATTATTAAAATATAACAACAATTATAATTAAAATACATGTATATATTATTAATATAAATAGTAGCATTAATATAGATTAATGCTAATATTAATATGAATATTTATAATTAAAATGCAAATATGTGTATATTTTGGTTAATCCGATTTTCGGTTCGGTTCGATTGCATTTTTTCTCAAACCAAACCGAAAACTGAAAACCAAAAATTTTAAAATCTTAATACCAAATCAAAATAACCAAACCGAATTGAGTAATTTGGTTCAGTTTGGTTCTCAGTTTGATAGTCGAATTTGAACACCCCTAATAGGGGTGGGTTGAGTTTAGAACACACATCTAGTTCAATATTGTTTCTTGTTATATATAAGTAATAAACAAGTAAAATAACACAAACAAACAAACAACAAAAATTTTAATTATTTCATTAAGACATGTAAAAAGCATATAAACTATCAATTATCCTTAACATAAAATTCAAAAGATTATTAAATTCATCACCTAAATACTAAAGTTTATATGTTGTCCAACAATGTGTGGGTCAGGGAGGGTCGGGTTTATTCTAACACCGTATCCTACTTATACCCATATAAGTTGTAGAATCCCAAAACCTATCCCCGCCCCAAAGCCTATCTTTCAAGAAAAGACCCAACCCATCAAGGTGGGTAGGGTAGAAATTGCCTTCCCTACCCCACCCCTTCATCCCTTATAAGGTATAAATTGTAATACCAAAAATAGTTATAAACCTATATATAATACTTCTAAGGCACCATAACTTCATCATTGTAGGCATAATCAGGGGTGGATTCGAGTCGAGCTGAGTGGAATACTTGGCTATTCGAGATAGGCTCGCATAAATAGTATTAGGCTCGAGCTTGAGTTCGATTTGAGCTAGAGACTTGACGAGCTCGACTCTGCTTAAAAGCTCGACTGCAAGCCAAGCTTTTTCTAAAAATTAAAAATTATACATATAAAAATATATTTTTTATTTTACATACAAAAAATTAAGAATTATAAAAATTGTTTATTATTATACATACAAAAAAATAATTATAAAAATTATTTACTATTATACATAAAAAATAAAAATATTATATATAAAAGGGTAGATTTCTTAAACTACTCCTACGGTTTAATTAATTAACTAATTATACCCTTATTGTTTAACTATTGTCTTGCACCACCCCTACTATTTCTGACAATTAACCAATTCTACCCATGCTAATAGTGTCCGTTAATGTTCCGTCAAAATCTGTACACATGTGACACCATGTGATGCATAATTTTTTTAAAACCCAGTATTATCCTTTATCCCTCTCCTCCTCCTTCTTCATCATCTTCTTCCTGTTAGCAGCAGCAAACTAAGCTCTTCATAGAGCCGTGTTGGATGAGACCACGGTGATGTTAGACCTTTTCAGCAGTGGCAATACTGTAGGCTGTAATAGAACGAATGCATAACAATAAACTCCAGACTCTCCATTACAGTAGAGGAAGCAAATAACAATGGACCACCAAAGTTAATTCATTGAACTCAACTCATTCTGAGCCACTGAGGAGTCAATCATTCCATCCAACTCTTACTTGATGGGCTCACAAATTCAAAGACTCCAAAGCCTCAAACCAATTGGAGCAGAACATACAAACAAGATAAATAGACAACGAAGGCTTTTCCTCCATTTCTTGGGCATTGGAGCCTTGGATTTAACACCCCTGACATCGCCTGTCAATGAATACATTTGGAACCCACTTGGGTCTATCTCAAGTGGGTTCTTGGATGGGTAAAATTGTTCGTTAAGCTATTAGCGTCGCAAGTACTATAAAAATGTGGCTATTTCTTCTTGTTCTTGATGTCATAGTCTTGTCTGTGCATGAATACTTGTTGGGTGGTTTAACAGAGGCCGACTGTCGTTGGTGGAAGCAATGGCCGGGTGATCCCCTTTTACAGCCACCCAAAAAACATGCATGTAAATACGTAGGGGGATTGGTTTTATTAACAAAAGTGTTTTTAAGCCTAGCTCTTTTAGCAAGTTCATGAATTGGCTTAACTATCTTCCTGTTTACATAGAGAAACTTTACATTTTCAAAAAGCAACAATAATTCAAATATATGATCATAAAGCGCTTGAAGATCCCAAGTGATGTTTTTATCAATTCCTCCTAGCTTCAAAAGAACTTCCTTAGCATCTGATGCGTATTTATTCAAACAGATGGTTTGCATTCCAACACCGAGGGGAAAGGTGATCCAGTAATCATGATTCACAAGAAAGTGCTCATGGTTATGTGACAAAAGACATGAGACACATTGGTGATTGTCTCACATCGAATAGAAAGAAACCTATAAAAGGCATCGGAAAAGTATGAATAGGCCTAATGCAGATTTCTGAATCCCACTGTAAATCTATAAACATTCAAAATGTCAGAAACCCACACTCTATGCACCCATACCCGTTCATGAATTGGCATCAATTCTGAGCTGTCACCTACCCCAAATGTACTTTTAGCCTACAAATTCTGACCCTGGGCTGAACCGTCATTCTCCCAAGACATCGAAAAAGTACAGATAGACCTAATGCAGATTTCTGAACCATCATTCTCCTTAAATTTTTCCAAGGGAAGGATGCTATGACGTTAACGGGCTATAGTGTCAAACTTTCTGGAGCACCAAATTAGTGTTCCTCTAACAACTGTCAATTGGGCTCCCGATGGAACAATTCCGAAGTCCAATTGTGGGATTCTCTGGCCGATAGACAAGTCAATGATTTTTTTTGAAATGTTGGATTTCTTACCTGGGTGGATAGGTTTCTATAGCCAAAAACTCTGTAAGGTGGGCACCGATTTGGGTGGGTTTGGAACAACCATATTGTAATTATAAAGGACACCATCAAGAGGTCTGTGGCCTGAAGTGGTCTGCCTCTTGGCAACAATTAGCATGTTGAGGATATGATAACCTTCTCTACGGGATTGTTCAATGGCCTCCTCCACCCTACCTTGTTTCATCATCCACCAGTGGTAGTTGCGTTGTTGGTACACACTCCCTCCTCTCTCAACTTGTACTCTCTATCTCTTTCCTTTTTCCTGTCATTTTGAAAATTCGAAGGAGAATAATGGGTAAAATAGTCTTTTTTGTCTTTTTATTAATGGTCATTAATGATAAAGAGGTTTTAGACAATTGTCAGATAACTTAGAGGTACTCCAAGACAATATGTAAGTAGTAATGGTAGAGTTAGTCCATAAGGATAGTTATATATATATAATAAAAATTATTTATTTAATTATACTAAACTCAATTAGGCTCATGAGCCGAGCTTTACTGGGCTTGAGATCGGCTCGATTAGCAAATGAGCCTATATATCAGGCTTGAACTTGGCTCGAAGCTCGATTTAAACTAAGCTAAGCCAAGCTCAAATAGCTCATGAGAAGTTTGCTCGTGGCCACCTCTAGATATAATCATGCTAAAGTAGTCAACCTTAATTTGATAATAAGGAATAGAAACACTTTAGCTGGAAAAAAATGAAGAAACGAGAGTAACCCAAACCCAACCCAAAATTATCAAGTTGGGTCAGGGTTAGGACTAAGGATATACTAACAATAAAATGCTCCCAACAATGCCCATCAGGCCACATCTCCGTTATCATTCATGGAAATATGTTCCCTATATGCAACTGCAATGACTTGTTTTGAAACAGTGTTGGAGCATTTGATGGGAGCAGATCTGAATTTCAGAGTTAGATTTAGGGATTCAACAACTTGGGTTGGAGTTCATATCTCTGCCCCACAAGGAATCACCCCATAACGCCCCACAGCACATCCCCGCCGTGTATTAGGAACATCTCACGATGATAGTATCAATCCTAATGATGTCATTATCGGGAAATGTTTCCAATAGAACGCGGGGATGTGCCGTGGGGTGGAGATGTTATGTCCTTGGGTTGGCCCTAAGCAGAGGTTTAGTTGAAGTGGTTAGTTGTGGAGTGACTTCTCTCATTGCTGAATCTACCAATTTCTTTCCTTGGATTAACAGGACCGTTAATCGAGTGGCTCATCAAGCTGCGACATTTTGCTGCTGCCAACAGTCCTCCTTGGTTGGAGAATTATCTCTTAGTTGGATTTCTGTCCCTTAACCCAAACTTTTGCTCCTCCCCCACCCCACCCCACCCCAAAAAAAAGAGAAAAAAAACTTTTGCCACAAATAATAATTAAATATTAATATATATATATTTTTATTTTTATTAAACATTAAATATTATTTTTAATGTTTTTTGCCTTATTTTTTATATTATTTTGAACGGTGGGTGATCAAGAACTGAATATCCCAGAGTCTTAACATAGGAGACGAGGCATCTGACTGAGCTGACTTAACATACCCAAACTGGAACATGAAGCAAAGGACAAATAGAGGAAGGGCCAAAGCAACCTGAAGGAGGACCAGACACCAGGCATACCAGAGTGCTAATTAGTAATTACTCGAAGTCAAAACGAGCACAAAGAAAAATATATATCGGTCAATAATGAAAAGGGAGCAAAACAGATACGATTTTCTAACGTACAGGACGGGTGCGCACAGTCTTAACTTGTGCACATGCCTGCGAAACCGTGTGAGATTGTGAGAAGAGGAGGGAAAGAAAAAAAAGAAGGGGTTGAAAGGAGGGAAAGAGAGAGAGAGAGAGAGAGAGAGAGAGAAGGGGGAGGAGAGAGAAAGGGTGAGAGAGAGAGAGATGGGTTATTGGGGCGACCGCAACAACATAGGAGACAAGCTTATACAAAAACACAGGTGTGGTGGAATAAGAAAGATGGAGAAGATTATGCGTCTCCTTTACCATTCCCATCATGACCTAAAAACTCTAACCCTAACACATCCTCCTTTCCTCTAACCATAACCGACCAATAGAACTCTCCTGAGTCCTGCCTCTTTATCTCTCACTCTCTCTCTCCCTCCCTCATCCTATTTCTCTCCACCCTTCTCAATTGCTCCTCCTCTATACGGTATCTCATCTGTCAGGGTAGCGAAATCCTTTCTTCCACGGTAAGGTTTATAACCTCTCTCTTCCTTCATCTTTCTGCATCGATCTTTCGATGGGTTTAGCTGCTCCTATTTCTTGATTATTCTCTATGTGGGTATTTCTAGTTCATTGTTTTATGTGCTTTTGTCAAGTATATATGGGTATGTCGATTTGGTTTTGTTTATGATGATCTGTTGCTATTATTATTCATTTTCGTCAGACGATCTGGTATTATGATTCCTCTTGATGGGCCGCTGTGATTTTCTGTTCCGCTGTTATTCTTCGTCTTGCTGACTTGTTTTGATCTCTTTCGGTGGTGTCGATGTGGGTTTAGTTTAATTCTTAGCTGGGTTCTTGATTTTTTCTTTCTTTTTGAATGGATTTGCCTGTTGATTTGTTGGATTGAGAGATTTTGTTATTGATTTGCTGAGGGTTTTTTGCCCGGGCATCCTGATTTATTTTTGAGGTATTCAGTTTATTTTCTTTTATTTTCCATAATACGTTGCTTATCCTGCTTTTTGTTTCCCCATGCGAATTCATTGATTTGCTGGGTACTGCTTTATGTAGTCTCCTTAGGCTCTCTCGGATCATCTGTGGGGTATGCTTGATGCTTGTGCTCTTCGTTTTACCCCAAGTACTCGTATTGGACGTGATCTGAAATCAGTGTGGATATGTGATATCATTTTGTACTGCCAAATTTGTGTCTGTTTTCTCAATGCCAGGTTTTGATGGATTGGGCAATATCTACTGTGCTTAAGATAAACATTGCAATTAGTAGTTGAAGCTTCAGTCCATGAATGCTCATCAAGAATGCTGTTAAAGCTCTTAAAATATCAATTTTCTGTCCATTATTAGGCAAAATCTACTGAAAATGCATTGCTAAATCAAGAATGCTGCTGACTCTCTTAAAATATCAATATTCTGTCCACTATTTGGCAAAATCTACTGAAAATGCACTGGAAAGCAAAAAAGTGAACCGGTGATAAAGTAAGACGTCACAGGTGACATCTTTAATGTTGTTAACATTGTCTTAGAATGTGGAGGCATAACGCAAGGTGTTCCACTACCTGGACGTGTGAGGCATAGCTCAGAACATAAGAGGCGTAAGCCTCCTTAAGGGGAGGGGAGTGAGGAGGAAGATGGAGGAGGGGGGGGGGGAGGAAGAAGAGGAAGGAGGATCTCATTTTTCTTTATTTTTAATAAAAAATCTTTTATAGATGCATAATACTAGCTGGAATTTTCTTTCCCCTTCTCTTTCCTTCCCTTCCCATCCCTTTTTATTTTCTTTATTTTCTCTTTATTCCATCTCTTTCTTTCCTTCTTTTCTCCTTCCCTTTCTTTTCCTTTCCTTTCTTTTTTTTTCTGTCATTTTTGCATGAGGTGTGTGTGAGGTGCATGGGGCGTACATCTCTCTATCATACCTCATGCAAAAGGCATATGAGGCATACACCTCTTGCACCTGAGGCATACACCTCAAAGCTATCAATGCCTCAGGCATATGCATTTTGGGGGTGTTTTGCTTGGAGGCACACCTCCCACACCTTTTAAAACACTGGTTGTTAAAGTCTTTAATGTGATTGATAAGTACACATTGTGAAATGTGGGCCAATGAAAAGTAAGTAGATCATGTTACATCTTTACTGTGATTGGTTACTTTTTTGATTTATTGTGCAGCTTTTGCACCATGATTACTCCAATAGTATATTCTGTTTTGTATATTATCATTTATTTTTGGCAGATAAGTTAAAATGCTATATAAAGATGGGCCACTAAAAATATTTACATAAAGACAACATTACTAAATAACTTGTATTAGCCACGCATCTAGGTTAATCTGTTAATGTGTTATCATGTTAGAAGTTGCTTACTTGAATTAATTGCTTTTGTTGGTTGTTGACACTACCCTTTTTGGAGATCAATAATGAAACATGTCTAACAGAAACATAGCTTTAATGATTGGATATTTAATGTTTATTGACCAATGTATCTTTACTAATTGATTCTGTGCTGTGTATATAGAGACGAATTATAATCCAACATGTGTTCAGGATCTAATTTGGCACTATGAGAAAATGGACTAGGAAGATGTTTAAAAAAAGTTTTGTATTATAAATATAGTCCATATAATTTGTTTTATTTCTTTGTTAAAGAGTGATGCTGCACCTCGCGCCTCCCACTAGGATGCTTGTAACAGACTTTTATCCTTTTCTTCTAATGAAATCTAATGAATTTTATCTATGAAAAAAATATAGTCCATATGATTCTAACATCTTACAGTTATAGATATAGAAAAAGGATTTAATACTTTTAACTTTGTTACTCACAGTAATGTTCTATTAGGAAATATGACGCTCATCATGTACCGTAGCTGTTCATTTATGTCAAAAAGCAACTAAAAAAAGGAAATTATTGCATGGAAATGTTACTCAAGATTACTGTGAGTAACAAAGTTAAAAGTTTAAATCTTTTTTCTATATCTATAACTGTAACCGACATGTGCCCAAAATGGACACTTCATCAATTTAGAAGTCCATTCAACACTGTTTTTTAGCCAAGGTCCCACATCCCATGATTTTGAGGTCGAACAGATCTTACTCCTAAACCCACTCCAAACCCAGACCTATGTAATATTATTCAAGCTGAATTAATTGCTTTCTTTTGTTGTTGATACTTTTCCTTTTGGATACTAGTAATGAAACACATCTAACTAAAACATAGCTTACTTGAAAGGTTGGAGATTAGATGTTTATCAACCAATATGTGATGTGTCCATCAATTATCAAAAAAAAGTTCAATTATCAAAAATACGTAATGTGTCCATATATCAGTATTTTTTTTATCGATAACAATAGATTTCATTAAATAATAATAAGGTTACATAAAAAGGGGAGCTAAAGTATCTTAACTCCCCATGTAAAGGATAATTCCAAGCTGAAAAAGAACAAAACAATTACAACTGAGCCAGAACCCAGAAATCCTATTCACTCCTTGCCTAGCCAGACCATCAGCAAACGAGTTTGCACTTCTCTTAACCCAAGTACACTGAACTTCCATATTCTTGGGCGGTACCATTTGACTTTTCTCTTCTCGTTACTGTAACTCTAGAGCTTAGAATTGTCTTCTTTCAACCAGCTCACTACCACCATAGAATCTCCCTCTACAATCAGCTTCTTGACCTTTAGGTCTTTAGCCCTTTGTACCCCTTCCAGGGCTGCTAACACCTGAGCCCTCAATGAATCCCCCACTCCAATTGAGCTAGAGAACATAGCTATTATATTACCATTCTCATCTCGTAAACCCCCCCCAATACCTGAGGGCCCTGGATTCTTCATGCTACTACCATCAAAATTTAGTTCGATAAATCCAGGAGGTGGAGGATTCCATGTAGTATTCAGGGTCTTCTTAGCCGAGATTGAACTTGCAATTTCTTTCCATTTTCTTAACATATCATCTGTTGAAAAATCTGTGAACTCCTCCATTGTCTTCAACCAATGTATTACCCTTATATGGATCACTTCCAACATATTTTCCAACCCTCTCTCCTTTTCTGAGAAAATCCTTGAATTCCTTTCTTCCCATATTGTCCAGCAAACAACCGCTCTCACAGACCTCCATATGATCCTTGATCTTTTTGTTGGGTAGTTAACAGAGGAAGAGGTAAACAAGCTTTGCACATTCGTTGGGGGAGTCCACCTGCACCCAAACAAAGAAGCAAACCATTCCCAAATATTTTTTACCAAAACACAGGATATTAGTGAGTGGTAACCGGACTCACCAGCGGCTCTACAGAGAATACACCAATGTGGAGATAAACAACTATTGGGTCTTTTTCTTTGAAGTAAGTCACCTGTGTTAATTCTTTCCAGAAAAGCTTCCCAACCCTCGAAGGTATAGGTCGACACCACACATCTTGGACAGGGAATGACAAGCCAATAGGACTTTCCAGATGCAATAGGGCTTTAAAGGAGGCACAAGTAAAGGATCTAGAGGGAGACAAGGTCCAGATCCTACTATCTATTTTTGTCGGGTCCAAGAAAACCCCATCAGGAATGGATAGGAGGTTAGAGGTACAATCCAGTTCTATGTCCCTGAGGGCTCTTCTCAATCCCAAGTTCCACCCAAACCTAGAATTTGAATTTAAGGGAACAAGGAAAGTGGCAATTGGTTCATTTTTAAAGGTGGAGTTTGTAAAAAGGGCCGGAATATGGTCTTTCAACGGATGATCCCCAATCCACACATGTTCCCAAAACTTAATCGAGTTACCTAAGTGCAAATCATACCTGATCCAAGGAGAGAATAGAGGCAGAATAGCATGGATTGATTTCCAAGGTGATGCTCTTGTTGCCATAGCCATAATCCTAGAGTCCCATCCATTCTCTGCAAGCCCGTGAATACTGCCAATTATCTTAGCCCACAACTTTTCCTTTTCCAATGAGAATCTCCATAGCCATTTCCCTAGTAAAGCCAAGTTCCTCTTCCTAATATTCCCAATCCCTAGACCTCCCTCCTGCTTACTTCTATACACCACCTCCCACCTAACTCTATGATCCTTTTTCTCCTCCCCAGGCTCCCACAAGAAATCTCTCATCAGCTTTTCCAACTTGTCAACCACCCCTGTAGGCACCTTAAAAACTGAAAGGTAATTAACAGGCAGGTTAGCTAAGGTAGACCTAATTAGGGTGATTCTTCCTCCTAGAGATAAATAATCTTCTTCTAAGATGAAAGTCTCTTTTCAAACCTCTCCACAACCGGAGTCCAAAAACATCATTTCTGAGGATTATCTCCAAGAGGAAGATCGAGGTAAGTTGGAGGCCAATCCGACACTTCACATTCCAACATGTTTGCACATGCAAAAATCTCACTTTCCCCCATATTCACACCTACCATCAAAGCTGACTTTCAGATTTGACATTTGCTCAAAAAGTTGTATCGTGTGTTTCAGATTCCTAATCCAATTCATGTCTCCTCCCTCATAGAAAAGAATCGTATCATCTGTGAACTGCAAGTGTGTGAGTGGTATGTTCTCCCAGCCTACCCTCCACCCTTTGATTAAGCTCTTAGCGTCTGTCCTAGAGACCAATCTCCCCAATACTTCAGCAACCAAGGTGAACAAGAAAGGAGAAAGGGGGTCTCTTTGTCTTATTCCCCTCAATGCCTGGAAGAAGTCCACCACCGTTCCATTCACCAAAATAGAGTAATGGCAAGTCCTAATACACCCTAGCACCCACTTGCACCATCTATCTCCAAACCCAAAATTGATCATCACCTCTAGCAAAAAGGTTCAATCTACCAAGTCATAGGCTTTTTCCAAATCTAACTTACAAACCACACCCTTTTTCCTTGATTTCTTGAAGTCTTCCACACTCTCATTTGCTATAAGTATTTGATCATTTATCTGCCTACCTCACAAAATCTCCTTGATTATTTGACACAATGGTAGTGAGTACCTGTCTAATTCTAAGAGACAAGACCTTCACAATGATCTTATACAAGCTATTTACTAAACTGATTGGTCTTCTATAGTCCCTTGGGTGTGTTGCTTCTCTCTTCTTAGGAACCAAAGTAATGAAAGTAGAATTCAACTCCGGATTGATCTCTCATCTTCTATGTAGAGGGATTATATTTGATAATGGAGTGTGTCCATTACAGTTTATATTAATGCTATGTACTGGGGGAGTTGAAGGAATAAGAGAAGTTGAGTTTCTTCTTTATATTTTATATGTTCAATTGCTGTTATTCATACTGTGTAATGTAAACTTAAGCATTAAATTCACTTGAATCTCTTTGTGAAGAATTTCCTTCTATCCATTCATCTGTCCTCTTGTTATGCTTCTTACTCTAATGTAGAGGGGACTAATACTAGTTTGGTGGGCCTTGGGAATTTTTTCAACATAGTTACTTATTGTTTCCTTCATTCTCTTATTTAGCATTTCAGACTTGCTGAGGTACGTGGTTTTAGTAGGTTTTCTTCCTCAGCTTTGGAGAAGCAGCTGGATCTTGAGGGGCAAATTTTATTGCTCCCCCTCATGGAAGGATTTGGAGTTTCTGGGTTTGATGGTGTGGGTTGTGCTGTGAGGAAGAAGAGGAGTAATACATCAAGGCGGCCTCGACCTGATTCACAGCCATTTCTAGACAGCCGAGATGTTTCATCTTTGTCGTCCACACCACCTTCAGACAATGTGAGCAAGGTATCCAGTGATGAGAATGCTGGATACGACACCAGTTCTAGGAGGAAGGAGTTCAATATTAGCAACACAAGGGTTTCCTCTAGTAATAAAGCTGAAGGTGAAATTGCACCTAAAAAGATCAGGAAAGATGAAGGGACATATGAAGAATATGATGGATTTTATAGCAATGGTGGTTCAAGGGGCAGTAATGAGCAGGGGCGAAGTGGTTCAGATTTCAAACGGTGCAGTGAAGGTGTTCTTGCCCCAGCTAATTGGAAAAGCACAGGTAAGATCAAAGAAAGATTTGAACAGCAGCAAAGGAAGACTGATAACCATACTGGCAGCGGAAGGAATGGAGAAAGCCGAAACTCAGGGCAGTTGGGAGTAGGTTCAGATGGAGTGGGTAATGAGAACAAATTAAAAAAAGTAAAGCTCAAGGTTGGTGGTGTTACTCGTACTATTCATACCAAATCAACTTCAGATGGTGGCTCTTCTGTCAAGTCTTATCGCTCCTCAGATGCTCCACGGCCAAGGCAAAGACTGATTCTTCCGGTATTACACTAGTTTCTGTTCTGATATTGGAGAAGCTATAAATTGATAATTAGTTTGTACACACTTCTTGTAGGAAAACATGCATTATAATGCCTGTAATGCTCCATGTCAAATATGCAAACTATTAGCCAGATGATTTTTTTTTTTAATCCAATGGTAGTTATATGTTTTGAACATATTTCTGGTGCAGGACAATTCTGATGATGATCGGTCCCCTCCCCCAGACAAGACTAAAAGCTTGCAAGGAGTTCCATGGAAGGACTTTTCCAATGGTGGTTTCAGTCTTGGGAAAAAGGATGATTCTTCAAGGGGCAAGATGTCTGATGAGAGTGTCTCTGGAAAGCAAACAGATAAGTCTGAGCCTGTTCGCAAGAGCAAGCGAGTCCCCAAGAGACGTGTATTGGGTGCAACATTTGATGACAATGATGAAGATGAGGAGATCCAATATCTTGAGAGACTGAGAACTAAGGTAACCACAGATTATGGTGAAGAGTATGAAGACGATGATGAAGGAAGCAAGAAACAGCGAAAGATTTCAAAAGTTTCAAGAAGTAGGACCATTGACCGTGATTATGATGAGGATGCTGTGGAGTATGGTTCATTGAGGTCAGGCAAAGATGGTAAGAAGAAGTCAAGATCAGATAGAGTATCTGAGGATGCAGATTATGTTGAAGATGAAGAACCAGTGTCAGATGGTGAGCCTGAAGCCAAGAGGAAGAAGTCAAAGAAGGAATCTGGTGATTTTTTCATGGAGGGTAAGGAGATGTCTCTTACTACACGTCAACGGGCCCTTCAGTCTGGTAAAGATGGCTCATCTGGATCTGGTGCAAGTCTAATTGAGTTCCCAAATGGGTTACCCCCTGCCCCACCTAGAAGTGAGAACCTGTGTATTCATGCTAACACGGCTTTTTCTCTTTGTTCTTTGCAAAAGCAATTTATTTTTGGATTTCCATTAATACTGATGTTGGCCTTTGATGGATAACAGAGCAAAAGGAGAAACTTTCAGAAGTTGAGCAGCAATTGAAAAAAGCTGAAGCTGCTCAGAGGCGTAGAATGCAGGTGGAGAAGGCCGCCAGGGAATCTGAGGTTCAAATTTGTCCTGAATCCCTTGTGATTTATTTATGTTTTTTTCTTTATTTATTTTTGCTTATTTGGGGATTTTGTAGGCGGAGGCAATCAGGAAAATACTTGGCCAGGATTCTAATAGGAAGAAGCGAGAGGATAAGAATAAGAAACGGCGGGATGAATTGGCACAAGTAATTCAGAATTGCCTGTGGATCTTGTTGTCTCTAATCCAACATTGAATTGGATTGGGGGGATAATATTACACTAATGTGTTGTTGTGTCTTGCAGGAGAAGGCTGCAAATGCAATGACGCTTGCCTCAAATACTGTAAGATGGGTCATGGGTCCCACTGGAACAGTTGTTACATTTCCCAAAGACATTGGACTACCAAGCATATTTGATTCTAAGCCATGCAGGTTTGTATGCTAATTACATATTAATACTACCCACTCACAAACATTTTCCTCTCAAATTTTATTACAGTATCTTGTTATTGACGAGTGGTTGGTTGTTCTTTTTGTGGGTATCCAGTTACCCTCCTCCACGTGAGCAATGTGCTGGTCCGTCATGTACTAATGCATACAAGTATCGGGACTCCAAGTTGAAGCTCCCACTCTGCAGTCTTCGGTGCTACAAGGCAATTCATGAAAAGCTGCAGGCTGTTAAAACCTGCTAATGTGGCTGAAAAGTATGTCCTCATGGCTTTAACCCACGTAGGTAAATATATATATTTTTTTTGATAAACAAGGAACCCATGTAGAAGAAGATTGTTGCATGTTTCAGTGCAAAGTTTTTGACAAGTTTATTTAGTGTAAGAAACTACAGGAAATATCTGTACAAAATTCTTTCTTTTTTTACTTGATGAAGCGTATTGCTTGAATGGTTCTTAGGATTTGATGGTGTTGTATTTTTTAATAATTTTTTCTCTGGTTTCGGTGGGGGGAGACTGAAGAGAGGTCGTGATGAAAATATGTAAAATCATTTGCTGCTGCAGTGTTGAGATATCAGCAACATGGTTATAAACCCAGATGACCACACAACCCACGATATGATAAATAGAAAAGGCGATAACGACATCATTGGCTCGGGTCTGGACCACTAGTGCTGTACCTTCTTCTGGTCAGTGGCTCTTGTGACTTGCCACACAGCTAGCCAGGTGTTCAGAAAATCCGGGCCGAGCATTCGATGATGGATGTGTCCCACCCCACTTAATAAGGCCTCTATTAAACCTCATCAGATCCTTTATTTTCGTTTTATGGCCAGAAGAATCTTCATCTGATTCATGCATCATTTTGAAACATTTAGGGGGCGTTGTACAACATCAATGCTTATCTTCGAAATTTTGCGACAAAAAAAAAAAACCATGATTTTGAACTGTATTTTTGGTTTAGCTTCCTTTTAGTATCTTTGGAGGTTTATGTGCGACATATATAATATAGCCAAAAATGTTTTAAGACCCACCTACCTCTATTTGTTTAGAGTTTCATGTGTTACAGTAGGAAAAAAAGCCATGCGTCTTTCAGTCGCAAAGACGCATAAAAGAGGAATCTTATTATAAATGAAACATTATTATTGATCCGATTACATTAAACAGTGGCAATGTTATGGACATCCCAGATCCATGGATGCCCCAATTGCAAACAATATCATACATGTGGAATCCTTGATTACAATTCCTTTTTCATGGGATTCAAATACCTACATATCTACCTGAGAGATTCTGTGGTTCAACCATCCCATTCAATTTAATAAAACGTCTAAAGAACTTTTTCAGTTTTTATTTTCCAAAATTTACCATCTGTTAGAGCACTGTTGACAGAAACTGTCCACGTCATTATAAATACAATTTTTATGATCAAACTACTGAATGGCAAATCAGCCTTATTAAACATATTTTTATGACTAAAATGCCTTTTTTAAGTGCCTAACTACCTTATATAAGAATAGCGGAGTAATCCGTTCTCAAGTGACTGCTTCTCTTGAACTCGGCATCTAACTCATAAACATGGCGTAGAAATCAATCTAGTTGCAGCTCGAAGCCTTTGACGTTGGCTCTTAGTTAGAATGACTCAATAGCAGTGGGGTTGGACGCTCTTGAACCGAACGATTTACTCCTGACTGAAGTTGCGAGCTCCGCCGCTGAAGCTGAAGTTGGGCTGTTTTATAGGACCCTTGAACATTTTACTATTTAGGCTCAGTTTGGAAGGAGTACAAAAACAAGTAAAATAATACAAAATACAAGATTTTGCACTCTACATAATTGCATTTGTACTCCTTCCAAACTGAGCCTAATGATTTTTTCTACTAAAACAAACACCAAGTAAAAAGCCTATCACTTTTAGCTAAATCAGCCATTAAAATGGCCAGTAGTAACTGTTTTTTTCTTTTTTTTTTTGTGCTAACATTAGAGATCCCTATCGTTGTTAACAACCTCGGATCCAAATATCAAAGCCCGCCACACAGATGCTAGGAGTAGGAGATGCGATTCTTTTTAACAGAGAAAAGTTATTCACATTTCGTTCTGACAACTACAAAGCACCAACCAAATGATCCAACAAAAACAGCTCTATAATGAAACAGTTAACCGACATTTATTTGGTCTGCCGGAAACTTATAAGCAAAGAAAATATTCCGATCAGTTGTATTCGGCGGCGTCAACTTTAGGCCCGGCAGATTTGTTAGGGAGGAGATTCTGAATGTTAGGCATGATTTCACCATTGAAGATGGTAACGACACCCAACAATTTTCTGAGTTCTTCCTCGTTCCTCACCACCAATTCCAACACTCTGAGATGGTGTAACCACATTAAACCAGATAATCCTAAGAATATTGTCCCTTTCAAGGGGCTAGACCGGCTATTAAGCTACAGAAAATATTCAAAAAGGTTGTAATCCATCCTTCCACACCTTCTCTCCTCTTGTTTTAGCCGCCTTCTGTTCTGATATTTTTTCCGTGTTTTTCTCTGTTGCCTAGGATTGATTTGAAGGAGAAAATAGCGACAAGGGTTAAGACTTAATATTCTAGGATATGGGGTATCGAAGAAGGCCACACTGAGGAGCAGTTCGGATCAGATAAGTACGTTTAAAGAGCACTTCATTTTTTTTTGACACATGTCCCTTAAAATACCTTCAACTCACCCTTAAAAAAGATTAAAACCCACTTTTGACAATTGTCAAAATACTTAGGGATTCTAATTAATAAGGGCAACTTTTGGACCCTAATATCAATAAAAATAATATTTTTAACATAATTTTTAGAATATGTTAACTTTTTCTTTAAATTATCAAATAGGGGCAGAAACACTAATCATCTCCTTCCTCTAGACCACTGAATAAATCTCCCCATCTCTCTTTCTGTTTCTCTCTCTCCCTCCTTCTTCTTCTTCTTCTTCTCTGCATTTGAGTTGTTCCAAACTCAGAGCAGAACTGCTATGAGTTATTCTTCTGAAACAGTTAGAAGAATACATGAAACACCGTACCAGGTACATGAATTGATGGTTTGGTTCCAGCTTTTAAGCCTGTAAGAGGTATCTGAAGCAGTTTTGAACACCATTAAAGCCTCAAAATCGGGATTGGAAGAGGTCTATGAGTATGCTAAGTGGAGAAGCGAGATACATATAACGAAATGCAAAAACGCAAGAATGGGCTTCACCATTTTTGCTTGCAGCAAGCCAGCAATTACAATGGTGAAAGAGGAATGAGATGAACGGTGTTTTTGCCCCTATTTGATATTTTTAAAAAAAGTTAGCCTATTTTAATAATTATATTAAAAAGATTATTTTTATTGATGTTAGGGCCCAAAAGTTGCCATTATCGACTACAATCCCAAATACTATTTATCAAATGTTCATTTAACATGTTTACTTATATTGTGCCTACTAGACCCGAATTTCATTTGAAGGAGAAAATGGCTACAAGGTTAAAACTTAAAATTCTAGAATCTGGGGTATCGAAGAAGGCCACATCGAAGAGCAGTAAAGCTCGTCTTCAGACTTCAATGCTAGTGCAGATGCTCTTGTCTACCTCGCCACCATTCTTTGAACTGCCTTTAACCCTTTTCAAGGAAGTCAAAGGCAGTTTGGACAGATTGAACTTCTGGGGGGAACACCAAAGACCACGGGCTAGCTAACCTCTAGCCACAAGATTAGATTTACAGAGAACAAACTTTCTTAGAAGTCTCCAGAGTAACAGTTTATATTTTGGGGAATGTTTAGTTTCCATCCAAATTTGATCCATTTTGCACAATGAATAGGAATTTCCAAGTCTTGGGATTCCCAAAGAAAATTATAAATATTTTTATTGAAAATTTTACATTCGGATTGTCCATCCACACTAAGACATCTGATTGGCCATTTGAGATGGCCAAACGGGTTGTTAGTTCAACCACCCGGATCGGCAGCTCACTGACTAAATTAACAGATTTTGGCCAAAGACTAGGTTGAGGGTGAAAAAGAACCGATTGCCTGGATGGTTCTCAGGTCAATTGATCTCACCATTCAGTCTGGTCTGGTTTTCAAAACCATGGGTGATGGGTATGTATGTATCTCTCCCAAGCAACTCCTTTATAAGGTGGTGAGAGCAGTTAAGACTTTAGGTATTTGACATCTACGTTGCTCCAAAGTGTTTGAGTTTTGATGTTGTTCGATCCGAAGTGTTTCGAACCAAGGGTGGAATTAAATAATCCTGCCAACTGGATGAAGCTAAGGTGGAATGATGAAGTTACGCATTAGAATCTACAACCAAGAGGGAAGGTCAGACAGGGGCGGAGCCAGGGGTGGCAAAGAGGAGCTATGCCCCCCCTAGCCCCCTATCTATGTTTATTACTCTTTGGTCCCCATCAATAAAAAATCCTAGCTCCGCCCCTGAGGTTAGAGGCTCAAAGAGTTATTCCCCATGTAGGTACTCTGACGCTCAACTTAGTTGAATGGAAGGGTAGGTGGTTGGGCCGAGCAGGTAAAAACAGTGCTGGTCCAAGCAGAAGAGGTAAAGCAGAGATATCAAAGTCTAAAAGTCCCTTGCCTTGAGCGAATATTACCTATTTATATCTGGGCATCCGTATTCTAATCGGATGTGGCTTTTGGGATTGTTGGGATGAGATTATTCATCGAGGTCTTCGGGATTTCTCATCTTCCTCAATGGAGTTAACTTCTTCATCCGTGCATGGCAGTCCTTTTAGGTAATGGTTATCCATCTTGCGTGGTGCCAATATGGCTGGAGAGAAAAAGGTGGTCGTAGAAGTTACCACGTGGCATCCTTGGCCAACTCAACCATAACCCAAACAAATCCGACTTTAAAAACACAATATGAGTTATGACTCTTGGGAACATCAGTGCTTGTAATAGATGTTTGAACCTATCCTTCGTTGAATTATTTTTTTTTCATATTATTCATTTTCGATCACTATTTATATCTAGATTTATGTTATCACTAGTTTGCAATGAGATCACACCTCAGCGTGCATTGAAAACATCTCACAAAGTTGTCATTGGAAGATGTTCTCAATACACGGATGGAATATAAAGTGAGGCGTTTGTGTGGTGCAGATGTGAATTCGTTTGTAGCAATCCAATCGAATGGTGGTATGAGTGGTTTTGGCACTTAGCACTGATGAACCATATGCGCCTATTTGATTTTTTATTTTTATTTTTTTATCTATCCTTTTTCTTTTGCAAAAACCCTGTATTTGATGTCTATTTTGTCTCACGGTCACAGGGTTGACCGTGATTATTATAATATACAAAGGGTTGACCCGAAACAATAAGCCATCCATTACATTTTAACTATAAGAGCTTTTGCGTTGATCGAGTTGTGTTTGATTGGAAAACACTAGCTTCATTGAAAAATTGAGTTCTCAACTGAAGGACAACACTTTTTGGCTTTTTGGGATTTTCAC